AATGAAATTTTTTTTAGTATTTAGTTTTTTATTTATAAATAAAAACATAGATACTTTAATATTTATTTTATTTTAACTATAAGTCAAATTTTTAACATCTTTTAAAAATAATTGTTTGATTTATTTGTATAGTAAGATATTAAACGTGTAAGTAACTGCTAAAGTGTGACTTTAATTAATGGCATATAAGTACGGAAAGTATTACTTTACTGACGATTTTACCGAAAAATGATCTTAAATTTTTCTTGTTTTATTTTTTTATTGAAAATCTTGTATTTCTTGCAACCACCCCCTCGTAATAAAATTGTTCGATAAGCCACCCCTCTAGCCCTCGCCGTTCATATTGAAAAATCCATCTCTTTTGAGAAAGGGCGTCCCAATTTGGATGTTTAATATTTAAATAGGAGTTATCGAAGAATAGATATCGCCTCAAATGTTCGTTTATAATACATGGGGAAGTATTCAATTTGTATACGCGAGCGGATGGAACTTTACTCGATTCATAAATATGCGAAAATACCAATAAGGTGCCATGTCCCTCCCCGCGAAAATTCCAAATTACCTCTTCAATAATACAAGAAAAAGCCCCCACACTTTTCGACACGATAATTTTATCAAAACTTTGCATAATTCCAACAACTCTTAGAACAACAGAACCCGTACACCAAAACCCAGACATATTTAACGTCCAAGATAAGGCTTCATTCATTATTAAACTTATTATCATGCTTATTATTATGCTATTATCTTCGAACTCGCTCCCAACTCGGTACAAAAACGTTCAAACTAGGCGCTATTTACGACGGCGGTTGGCACCACTGTTCACACCAAACAAACCAGACAGCAACCAAGTATGAATTTTACCGACTATTTACGACTCAGTGAGTTCAAAATTTTCAAAAATGTGCGTGAAACTCTACCGAAAAATCTCAAGAAATCCACCAGTTTGCTTGCGGTTAAAGATGGGGTGCTTTTTACGTGGGATTTCGCCGACAATTGTGTCCTAACCTTAAATATTAAAGCTGCGAGGAGCCGCGACGGGGACAATGTAACGCATCAAGTAAGTAAAAATCGCTTTTTTGCATGATTTTACCCACATTCACGGTTTTTTGTCTATTTAAATCGTCAAATTCGACCGGAAAAAACCGTAGAAAAAGTTAACATAACCTCAAAGTGTCAACACTTTTTTGGTCAAAAAAATCGGTTCGTGTTGTGAAAATTGTCCAGTTTGGACAAATTCACGCGAATTATGGGATTTGTAGTCAAAGAAGTGCAGCAAATGTGGTTTTGAGGGGTTTGAAGAGGGTTAAATATTGACGTTTGTTGTGGTCGCCAGTGGCGGCGTCAGTTTTTTTTTCAACGGGGTATTGTCGGAAAATTGTCAAATTGTTTACTTTTTTGGTCAGTAGAACTTTTACTTTTTAACATATAAGGCGCTATAATTAGTGTATAAAAATGACATTTAATGTTTATATTTTTACATTAAGAAAAATTAATAATTTTAATTTTTTTGTGTTATGGCGTCTTAACGAAACAGTAGTATTAAACTCTTTAAGAAAAGTTGTCATGTTTTTATTTTAAATGTACATTTTTAATAAAAGCGAAGATATAAATTTTAAAAATTTCACAAAAGTTGCTGTCAATTCATGTGGTCAATTATTTGGCAAAATTGGCAGCAACTAGCCCCCTACATCTAGTGTGTGAGTTGTGTTTGTATTGGCAGCAGAAGGAACTAAATTGTGTCAACAGTTGTGACTTTTTCAATATTGTAATTTTTGACAGGTCTGTCCATAAAAAACAGTTGGATGTTTAGTCGGATTTACAAAAATGCAAAAATAAAAAAAAATAAAATTAAAAAAAAACACCAAAATCCATAGAATTTCTAAAACAAAAAATTAAAAAAGTTCAAAAATCAAAAAAAAATCAAAATTAACTTGTGCAAAAAAATAAAAAGAAATCAAAAATACGAAAAAACATCGAAAAAATAAAAAAACAGACAAAAATAAAAAAACTTCTAGAATCAAAAAAAATTATAACTTAAATGATTTCACAAAACAATAAGTAGACTAGGAAATATAAAAAAAACATAAAAAATGCTTAAAAAAAAGGTTTTATTTTATTGGCAGTAGAAGGGCCTAAATTGTGCCAACAGTGTGACTTTTTCAGTATTGTAATTTTTGACTGATCTGTTTATAAAAAAACAGTTGGATGTTTAAAGTCGGATTTACAAAAATACAAAAATTAAAAGTATCTCTAAACCATAAAATTTTAAATGTTCTAAAATCAAAAAAAAAATAACTAAAGCAAAAAATCAAAAAGAAATAAAAAAATTAAAAATTTGAAAAGACATGGAAA